ATTTAAACACGTAATTTCACCGCATTTAACGTCACTCGAAGTTATGTAGCGTTTCAATCACGACAATAGCAAAGTTATTACGAAGGAGTTTCAGGAATTCTTCGGTAACAGTCATTGTCTACCGGATTTGATAATAACTTCATGTCTCAGAGTGATTTCTGGGAATTTGTTGCAAATTGGAATACTGAAACCTGTTGTAAACAAAGATAACGCATAATCACGGTATAATCAAGTGGTAAAACGTGAAGATGAGAAACGATCGAACGATAGTTCAGTCAGTTATTTTCTGTCTGATCTGATGTTCTTGGAATTGCATAATGCGGAAAAGTGGAAGATTTCGTTGCATGTGTCGTCAACCATATTTTCCTGCTTGCCTATTTTCCTTAATTTTTTTCCCGACTGTTTTCGAATGTCGGTTGAGAGAGATGCCTCTGTTATTGGCTGAGCAAATAGCGACTGTCGGTATGGCGCCTGTTATCGACTGGCATTCGAACAATCCGGGCTTTTGTTGATTGCAGATAATGATTCTAGATATTGTCGCACTGTTAAAAAAAAATTGGCTTAACTTTCCGGAAACATTAAATAAAAAAAAAACTTTCCAGAAAGAGACCTTGAAATCGATTTAAGTTTCTCTGAAAATTTAAGTAGCGTCTCATTTTTTTTTAGCGGCAAGAAGGCGCAAATTCCACAATTTACATGAATCTTTCAGTGAAAATGAATTTTCAGGGTGCTCCTTTAAAATTCTTGGAACTCCTGAAATTTTTAAAGGAGTTCCCTGAAAATTCTGAGAAATATAGAATTCGAGGAGTGATTTCTCTGAATTTTCGTGATTTTTAATTATTTCTCCCGGAATAATTGAACTGAAATTTACAGTTCCCAGAATTTCCCAAATTTACAGTTCATGGATTCCTCCATGAAATTATCAATTTTCAAATCACTGGAATTTCAAGTTTCTCTGAAAATTCTGGTAAAGTCCGATTTTTTTTGTAACAGGAAGACGAAATTCATGACCGACCTGAATTCGATCTGAAATTTCATGTAAAAATTGTTGGAATTTCAAGAATTTTTGAAGGAATTTCCGGAAGATTCTGAGCAATCTAGAATTCAAAGAAAGATTTCTCTGAATTTCCTTGATTTTTCATTAATTTCCCCGGAATAATTAAACTGAAATTTAAAAAAATCTAAATCTAAAAAAATGTTTATATATTTATGACCGTATTATGGCCAAAGAATCAATTTAGTAAAAAAAATCTCATGATGATTCCCTCTAAACGAAATAAAAAATAATTGAAATGGAAATTTAATAAGTGGATTCGAGATTTTCTAATCAACTTTCAACACAAATCGCAATTCAAAGTGAAATTTTGAGTAAACACTCACGATTCACGAGTATCCTTGGCAAATGTGCATTCTGATTATCCTCATTCGAATAAAATTCTCTCACATTAACAATCACAGTAGAATAGCTTGGGAGGGGGGCGGGGGATCACATACACTGGTTGCTCTTGCTATTCCTCTAATGAGTTCTCGAAACTTTCATCGTAATTACGATGAGAGTCACCTGCACGAGTTTATTTCATTTCTCATTAAAGCGGGATAATTATCGCGAGATGAGTAAGGTGGACATGACGGTGGACTTTCGTTTTCGAGATTTCGTGTGTGAATTCCATTCATTTATAATTTGCTATTGCGAGTGTGCGAGGTGATTTTAACTTTATCATAATTTTCACATCGAGGCGTTGATGTTCTTGATAAAATTGCGCATTAATCTATAATGTTATCCACGAATTTGGAAAAAAATCTAAGTTATGATACGGAACTATTTTTTCTTTTGGATTTAGTTTGAAGGGAAGAGATATCTTGTAAAATATTGAACGAGCTTTTTCGTAGAAAACTAAATTTTCCGAAAAACGAAAGACTATTATTTATTTTTTTACGAAAAACCATTATTCACTGAATAATCTTAAAATTTATGAGCGCTTTGACACTGTTGGAAAGAAATTGTTACGGATGGATAGAATTGATTGCTTTTTTGGTTAAAAAGACAAATAAAATTGGAAGTTTCAGCTAAAATCCAAGTAAATTCGAAAATTTGCAACCAGAAATAAAACCAAAATTTCATGACTTACTTGAATTTTCAATTGAACTAATTTTTAGTTGATGAACAATTCAAGAACATTTATGAAAATTGTTCAAAAACCTCTCTCGTTCCAAGATAGTCACAAAATGCTCAATTCAATTCATAAAGTCCACTTTTATAAATTATGAAATGATCTCGTGAGTGACTAAATTCAGAATGTCCATTGATATTTATCCCCGAAATCCGCCATCAGCGATACAATTATATTTCAAATAATAAAATAGGAAAAATCCTCTGAAAAAATCCTAAAGGTTCCCTGAATTTCTTTCTCCTTCTGTTCACGAGAATTAGAGCAACGACCCACCAGAAAAGGTAATTGCTTTCGCGACAGTTTCATTTGCCAGGGGCTAGATTCAGACGTAGAAAGCACCGAGTTGAATTTCCTCATTATGCTCTTGATGAATGAATGAATCCGAGTGAAACCTAAAATTGAATCGACCTCATTTCATATGCAGAAAATACTTTTTTCTGTACACGGAGAGAAAAGTTGGATAAAAATTACCGAGAAAACCGTGGCAAATTTTACTGTACGAAAGGTAATCGTGGCGTGAAATGTAATTCAATGAAAAAATACATGTTTGTATTATGCTAGAGGATATTTTACGATTCATTCGATAAAAAAAAAACGACTATGGATGCAAAAATTATCCTCTCGTACAGTAAAGTTTCCCAGACCAGAAGGGTATTTGTTTTGCACCCATCTGAAGGTCATGGGGATGAATGGAACCGAAATTTTACCGAACGCGTTCGGTAAAAAATAATTCTTCGTTGGAGAAAAGTTAGATGTAGTATTTGAGCAATCATTCGGGTTCACTGGGATAATTTCTGATGGAATGCAGCGTAAACTTTACAGTTTCGCCACAAATTACCCTCACGTTCAGTAAATTTTCTCGGGTCAACGGAGAAAAATTGACTATTTTCCCTGACATGCACTGTTAAATTTTTGTTAAACTTTTTGATGGTGATGTTAAATTTTTTTGGCTGAAATTTCCGGTGTACTTTTTGGAAATTTTTATCACATTATTGTTCCACTGACATTTCAAGGAATTTCGTCATTGAAAATTCAGAATTTTATGGTAGAATCAATGAAAACTATAAATGTCAGTGCTATTAATCCACAAAAATTGATAAAAATACGGAAAATTCAGATAAATATATTATTGAATTCTTAATAAATTGAGAATTCAGCGTAATTTGGTACTGAATATTCATATTGTCATTGAAAATTCCAGTAAGTTGTCAAATTTCATTGAATTCAGTGAAATCAGAAAGTTCATCATTCTTTTCTCCCTAAAACGATTTCAATGCCACTCTTCTAAAAATTATGAGTCAGTTGTTCATGAAATTTCAATAGTTTTCTAACAGTGTGGAGTGAAAAAGTACTGAAAATCGAGTTCGCTCCACGATTACGTGACTCTTTCCGTAAATTTTTAGCATTTAAAACTTTTGATTTATTCTGATAAAAAAAGGCGTTAGAAGAATACAAATAAATATGTTCGCAAAATTATTCTGCGATGCCGAAAATACTTGTGATGGAGATTAATGCACCAATTGATTGCATATTTTGGATTTTCATTCGAGTATAATTCCATTTAATCGGATCCCATTGCGCAACATAACATTCATGGTTTTATGGTAATCCACCGTTGACCCTGGTGTTACCACTCTGCAATCTAATTCCATTGTCATTGTACGAATGTTTCACGCATGTAGGTCATTCGCTTTTGGGATTTAATGGATGTTGGAGGGTTCAAAGACCCGTGGAAATACGAAACTCCGATAAATTTGAGTCCGGAGAATTTCAACAAATGTTTTGTGATTTACCCACTCATTGTAATCAAATGTTGAGTGAAGTGGTAACAGGAGATAAATCAGGGTGTTTATTCGGTGCTGATAATTCTCGATATAAAATGTTTTGCAGTTTATAAAATTACATTATATTAATCCAATAAAATTTTTCATCTCCAATTTTTATTCTTTGCTATTTTTTTATATATTCTATCAAAATGTGAGGATAGAAATTGAATTGATGGGTATTCTTTCATTATTTGAAAAAATTTATCAATTTTAAAACTTTCCGGAGACATTGAAAAATCGAAATTTTTACTTTCTTGCGAATCGATCATCATCCCAAGAAACAGTATCAATACTCTCCTTATTATTTATCATAAATATCTCTTCATTTGAAAATGAGAAAAACTGTTCCCACAATTTGTATACTACAATGGGAATGGAATCCAATAAATTTAATTTAATCTAACCGCAAAGAAAAATTGGAAAGAAAACAATAAAATAAATTAGTATAATATAATATAATCTCCCGTTCGCTAGTTCACCCTAAAAATGATAATTTAGGATTTTCTCAAAATCATTAAATTTCAGAATTGTGCACTCACTGAATTTTACAATCGGGAATAAATTCCTGAAAATCGATTACATGTTCCTGAAAATCAGTGACATGTCTCTGAAAATCAAAACTGTTTTTCCTTGGAAATTATCTAATAATATAATAAAATATAATAATAAGATATTTCTAATAATCAACGAATGTGCATTTGAAGTAGTAAAAAATGAATTAGAAAAATTCATAAAATCTCTTTGTGGTTATAAACACCAACCACTTCCACAGATTTCCCCCAGAATAATCGCCCTGTCACTTTTCCCACTAATTTTCTCTTCCCACTGCACCATTGAAGTAGAAGAAAATTAAATTTACTGAAGTCAGAATGAATACCAATCACTTCAAGTGGTTTTCCACTTTTCAAGGCACAAACTTTAAACAGGATTTATCTATTCAATGCACAGAAGCATTCGGATTTAAACTCACTGGAGTTACGAGTCTGTTGTGGTTTGTTTTCAGGGTTGAAAGACCTCTTCCAGGAGGAGTCCTCGAGGTGGGATACCTTCAAGTGTGGATTAGCCGAGTTTATTGGCACTGGTCTCCTCGTATTTCTGGGATGCATGGGTTGCGTCGGAAGTTTGGGTAATGCACCCGCTCTTCTCCAAATATCCTTTGTATTCGGCTTGGCTGTTATGCTTATCATCCAGGTGAGTTATTTTATTTCATACAGATGAATTTCTGCAGTAGTAAAAGCGGTGCCTGTACCGCCAAGCGAGTGATACCGCTCATTCACTTATCTCCACAACTATACCGTGAGAAAAGTTGGATAAAAATGATCTATAAAATCGCGTAAATTTTAGTATACGGCGAGGTAATCGTGTAGTGAAATCCCAACTCAATAGAAACATATTTGTTTGGAGGATATGTTACGATTCGTTCGGTAAAAAAAATACATCTTGTATAGAATAATTTCCCGACATCGGCATAATGATAAATTTTAAATAAAGTAAAATTTTGAAATTGTTAATTGGTTAATATAACTCAACAATTTTTGAACGATTAAATTAATTATCAATTAATTTTCAAATATTCAAATTCTGAATTATGTCATGTATTTTGTAAATGACTTCGGAAGATTGATGATTATTTGGTTAATCCAAAATCCTTTTATGAAATTTAGAATTATTTACTGAATAATTAAGGCAATTGATAATTCCAGCTTGTCAATTATTTTCTTATTTCTTAATTTTTAGTGAATATGAGTAAACCTTAGATATTTTAAGTTGCAAATTTTTTTAAGATTTATAATCTAATGATTGATGCCGACCCCTGAAAATTAATGACATCGGTCCCTGAAAATCACTTCTCTTGTGTATATAGACTGTTTCATTCAAAGTTAGAATTTTGAATGCGAAAAACATAATTATTCATTAGCTGGAATACACATACATCGTTTATCCTACGTAAATTTTTTAAAATCATTTTTTATGGACAAAATGATCAATTCACCAGTTTTCTAGCTCAAGCAAATTGTTTCGTAATACTAATTAAAGAACTATGTGACGAATGAACGATTTCAGGTATAGGAGGAAGTGAGGAAGAATGGTCTGTCTCTAATCGACTATATCTACTAGCCAAAAATCAGTGGAAATTCCACTCGGCTGGTCTTAAATTTTTGACGATTGAGAGACAATCTCATTCGCTGAACTTCCCCTCAATATGAATATGTGCACGTTTAATAAAAAAATTAATTATTTTGAAAATCGCACTCGAAGAATGAGGTTCAAGGAATTTCTCCAGAAAACGTTTATGTCAAGAATTAAATTTCCTGCTTGAAAACTTCGACGTTTTCCTCTAAATCTACTAATTTTATAATAATTCACCGCATAATTGATAAAAAATTTCTGCGGAGAAATCGCTTCTCTCCTTTACCTTCTCGCCATAATCACCATATGATTTTATAATTATAATAATTTGTATTTTTAAACATTTCCGTGGGAAAAAAATAATAATCCTGCAGAATTTGCTTCGCCACTCAGATAATGGAAATAATTTTGTTCATTAATTTCACTATAGAGTATCGGTCACATCAGCGGTGCCCACATAAACCCAGCGATAACCGTTGGTTCGGTTGTCCTTGGCAAGAAATCTCTCACAGCAGCTTCCGTGTACTTCTTCGCTCAGTGTCTGGGCGCCATCGCGGGTTATGGAATGCTGAAGGTCAGTGCATAGCAAAAATAGTAATTACACCCTCCTAAATCAACCGAAATTACCCAATAATCACACTCGAACAGGATAATTCAGTAGAAAAGTGGTGGAACGAGGGGAGTCAAGTAACCAGAGCATGAGTTTCTCATGAATATCCAGAAAGGGAAATTTTCACGAGATTATGAATATTTTATGCATTATGAATATTTTTTACGATTTACGATTATGTATATTTTTTTAAATTGCACTTTGCAATAAAAAAGGGTTCTCACACCAATTTTGTGATTTTATCTGTAAAAAACTATTGATAACAATTTTATTCCACCACTTCACTCCCAAATTTAATACATTATGAGCAGATCGACGCCAAATCGGTTGAGTAAAAAAATCGATGCTGGGGATTTTTGTCTCAAGTTTTCTCTGAAAAGATGGCGATTAGATAAAAATTCAAAAAGAAGAAAAATTGAAAAATAGTGATAATTGATGGGGTTATGACTTTTGAAAATATGACTAATTTTGTCCAAACGAATTTTTTTGTCAAATTGGCCTAATTTCCCAAACTATCCAACCGTCCTTTGGCACACTCAAAGAACATAAAAATCCCGTGAAAATGAGACAGTCAGACATAGCATTATCTTCAGTTTGACGGGATTTATGCGAGAAACCGTTTTCTTTCAATCGTTAATTATTAAAAAGCTAATTTTTTAAAAAGCTGAAATTTCTACCAACAATTGTCAATAAAATGAACGAAATTTTGGCGCCAAATAGAGTTTGTCTTTCGCCGCGGTTCGGCGGTTATGTTGTTCAGAATAAGTATTTAAAATGACCGAAAATCGCTATTATTCATGCAATTGTCCTCCAAATGAGTGAATATTCAATTGAATATTAACAAAAATAAAAATATTATATTATTTGCTAATAAACAATAATATATACAATAACAACAATAATATATTATTTGCAATTAACAAATATTGTATTATTTGCTATTAAATAATATAATATTTAATAGCAAATGGTGGATGTCAGATAATAGGATTTTTTTTGTCAGAGTATACAGTAAAAATACTGAAAATCGAGTTCGCTCCACGATTACTTTCTTCATTTCATCAAAGTCATGAGAAATTCACGTAAAAACCCCAATAGCCTCATGTTATTTCTTCCCAAACAAATGAAATTAATTGTTATCTTCAGGTAATTACACCTCAGACGCTCCTCCACGCTGGGGATCCCTCTAAAATCGACAGTTTCTGCATCACCGATCTCCACGAGAGCATATCAGTGATTCAAGGTCTCCTCGGAGAAATAATGGCGACCGCAATTCTAATGTTCATGACCTGTGCGATTTGGGACGCGCGCAACGAGAGGAATACAGACTCGGTTGCCATCAAGTTTGGTTTGACTGTGGCTGTTCTCTGTATGGCTGTGGCACCTTATACGGGATGCAGCATGAACCCAGCGAGATCACTGGGGCCTGCGATATGGAATAACAACTGGAGTCATCACTGGATCTACTGGTTTGGACCGCTCGGAGGATCGCTCGTTGCTTCCGTTCTCTACAGGTCTATTTTTTCGCTGAGACCTGAGGGCTCGGGCAGGTCGGGAGAGCAACAGAAGGCTGAGGTAATTTTTGGGAAATTTGTTTTATGCGCGTGCTGTCATGTTATGTCTTGTAATGTCATGTTGTTTTTAATGGATATGATTGTGAATTGTTCTTACATTCGTAAGGAACGCGATTTTTCAATTACCAAAATTAGTTTGAAAGAGATTTCCTAATTAATAACTGAATTAAATTACAACAATTAATTTAATTTTAATAAGAGATTTCGCGGGTATTTTGGTAAAGTAAAACTAATTTATTTTCTATTGAATTTGTTCTTTTGTGTGGATTAGAAGTTATAGGACGAAAGATGCTTTTCTTATTAGACAATTTTATAAATCATAGAAAAGGTTTGTCGAATTTTTTTTATGGGAAAACGGAATGACAATTATTAATTTTCATCTATAAAACTCCTTTGCCGACACGGTCATTGAACTGTTAAAACAGCGGGGTAGTTTTGTAAATAAAAAATAATAATTGCCCGGGGAAAATACAATTCTAAAAGTTCATATATGCAAGGGTTCCGGTTCCCCTTAAAGGTTGTTAATACTCAAGATAATTTAGTGTTTTGTAAAATGTAAAATATTTAAAAATGTCTGAAATCTCTTCTCATTTTTTGTCTAAATCCACCAGTTTTGGAGATATTTGGAAATTAATCTGTATCATATCATTTTGGTTTACATTTATACACTTCTTAGAATTTTTTATTGACTGACAGTTTCACTGTAATTTATCAGGAGTTTTATCATTAAAGATTCATAATTTCAGATCAATTAAATTATTCCATGAGAATTCAAAAAATCAGGAAAATGAAGGTAAATCTCGTTTTGAATCTCCAATTGAAAATTTAGTTCAATTTGATCCTGAATATTCATGTCTTCAATGAAAATTCAAGTAAGATTAAGAATTCTCGCCTTCCTGTAGAATTTCGTTGAATTTCTAGTGAACTTTTGAATTTCCGATTTTTTAATTTTTCCACTAAAATCGAATTCAATGCCCTTCGCCTGAAAAATATGACTGCTGTCTTCCTATCGTATCTACTTCAATTTCCGAGAAAGGCAATTATTATTTTGCCTCAATTAAATAAATTCCATAAATAATCAATTAATTTGTTCATTCATGTCTTTCAGATTTGATTTCCTTCACTTTGGACTACAGTACTGTAATTCCTAGGGGTAAAAAAATTGCCTGCAGTGGTTTCAGATCAAGGGAAACCAAAGGATGGAATCGCAAAAGTGAACTAATGAGTGACATCCATACGACGACGAGGAAATGAAAGTGAGAAGTTAACCAGCACCTCCGCCGGGCTTTCGACGAACTTTCCTCAGATATTAATTGGGACTTTTCTGAGATTTAAATTCGTTACCGATGAATGGTACATTTCAAAGGCCCGCGTTATAGTTGCCACTCATTGTCAGAGTGAATATTTTTATACGAAAAGAACTCAAATTGAGAAGTGATATAAAATTAGAAAATTACCTACTCATATATTGCGTTATATTAGGAGAACAAAAATTGACGTTTAAGTTTACGGAAAATTGTCAAGAGGAGATGAGTTCAACACGTCAGAGAGAATTGTTTGTAGAGCATGAAATCCTACAAAAATAACTTACGAAAAATTTCAATACTCGCAAAATATTAAGTTTGTTTGGTGAACAAAAAGTTTTCGTTAATTATCATTTCATTCATCAGTGATATTTCCATCGCAGGGACATATCATCTGATTGATCGATAAAAACTGATAAATATTTCTGATTATACCGTAAATTATGAAATTCACGATGGGATATTTATAGACATCTATTCAATCAATAAGAAGATCCGAAATAACAAATATTTGTGTCACTTCCATTACTGATTAACCCAATAATCCACAACTTTTTGTTGCGATGAATGATGGAATTATTATTACTCGATAACGAGGTAAAATACATCGATGAAAAATGGATACTATGACGCTATTGGTATAAAAAAAGTAAACAGAATGTGATGAAACTTGTTTTGTAGATTTCAAATATTCGATAAAAAAATTTTATGACACTAGTGAAAAAAAGGGCACTTCTTTGCACGCTCCGCGGGCAAAGAACCGTCGGTTTATCATCAGTATTATGAAACATCATACGATACCTATGAAAAATAGTATATTTCGATACGAGTGTGAAGTTGGCCGCACGAGGTGGAGCCAAGGGCGGCCAAATTTACCCCTTTTCACTTTTTTTAATACTTTTTTTCACTTCTATCGTAATATACTATTTTAACCCTCTACGTATACACCTCTTGGGCACTTGTTCTATGGATACACTGGGGTGATTTATCACCCCGCGCTATTGCTACATTCACACTTTTATGATATCCTCTACTGAAGAGATTCATATCCATAGGATTAGAATGTATGCAGTTCAATTCCACGAAAAAATAATTTAAACACTGAGAGAAATGTCGAAAATTGGAATACAGTGCATTTAGATACGAGTGTGTAAAAGTGTTTTTTGACCCATGAGAGGTGAGTAGCACTTGCCGAATTTTTCCCACGAGTGTCGAATCCTATTTTTCACGCGAAGCGTGCATAAAATTTCACTTTACGGACGAGTGATGAAAAATTCTATTTTTAAAACGCTTCATAGTTTTTTTTTTAATTGAACTCATCAACAAAAATCGAATGGTGTTTTCACGTAGAGACCCCATGCTCGAGATTGAAGAATAAACAATATTGATTTCTCAATGGAATGAAGTAACGTTAATGCAAAAACCACAAACATTTGACACGAAAATTTTTGCCTCAATTTACACGTGACGCAGAACTGAGGTTTCTGCTGAGCCAATAGTACTCAGAAACCTCTAAACATAATTACTATTTGACAATCAAGAAAATCCAGTGGGGTGATGAGTGACCCCAGTGTATCCGTAGATACTTAATGACTGTCGTTCTTTAAACCATCATTTATCTCAAAAACGAGTGACTTCAGGACGAAATGTCAGAAGGTTTTCTTCTAGTTTATTAAATTTCCTACAAGAAATGTCTTCTGACGAATTTTTCTAAACCACTTCGTGTCAAAGATGCTTTCAAAGTGCTGAATTCGATGGGTAAACAGAAGCATTTTGTATACTCATCAATTAACTCAGAAATCAGTGAGAGAATAAAATGTAGAGGAGACTTTTACAGAAACTGAAATTGTCTCCAAAGTGATCTCTAAAATAATGTTGAACTCACCTTCTCCGAGCGTTTTAATTCAAAGCGAAATTTAAAAAAAATTAAGGCGAATTTTTATCAAGTGTTATTGTATTTTAGAGTGCTCCATAAAACAATGATTATTCAAATTTATCGTCAAGTTTCGTAAAACCTGTTTTACGTTTTAATGGAACTTGTTGTAACGAAATAACCACCAGTGATGCGCATTTGAGGGAATTAGCTTCAACCGACTTTGGCCAGAGATTACAGGGGATGAGTTGAAGTTTTAATTGTTCTCACCCGAACTATAAATTTTCAAGCGTCGGTGTACAGACCGGTATTACTTTGCTCGCGACCATCGAAAACTTTAAATTATACACTATATTATATTATACATATCACCCTTCAGTAAAGTTGATACTGTCTTCGTCATCGTCCTTTGGTTCATGCTGGGCTGGATTGAGATTTTGTATTATTATTTTTACTGATTACAGATGTAATTATCATTCAATGTTCAAATATATTTAATACGAATTTTAATTAATTTTCACTGAGTTGAGTTTATTATTCATCCGTCACCTGTCCTCATGCTCTTTTTAATTGTTATTCTATTAGTTACGAGCGTAGATAAGGGGAATAAATCACTTCCTTGGTCGAGTTTCTATTGATAATTATTGTAATTAACAGTTAATGGCCCTTGGTAAGTGATCTATAGGCAATAGTGAAGAGATAAAACGGGTTAAAAATATCCAAATGCTGGAGAATTTTCAATCAATCAAATTCGTCAGCGGAATGGTGTCACAATTTTTTTTTTCAATCAAACGTTAGCCCATCAATAAATAATGGAAATAATTTCGACTTCCGGAAATCTTGTTTTTAGAATTCTGAATATCAACACAGTTTTTTGATTGGAAAAGAATGATTTTTATACATTTTTCATTACAAAACTCAACTTCAGAAATTGGAACTTGTTAGTTATTTCATAAATGATTCTCGAGAAGTCCATTTCCAACTTTTTTTTCAGATTGTTTAGTTTTTTTTCTCGTATACCCTTTCGGGTCTTTACGATTTGTTCCCTTCCCACCCCCCAACCTCCTGTACCGCATTCGCCGAAGGACAAGGGAAAACCATTTGAGGGAAAACCCTGCCCAGATACAGTTGTCTCTTGTGAAAATCCTGCTCGACAATGAAACCGTGAGATTTAGAGTGTAACAAATTTTGGCCCCACCCAGCCGGGAATCGAACCCGGGTCTCCCTCATGCCAATCCCACACTCTATCCACACAGCTACCGCCGTGGGTAGATTGTTCAGTTGTTGAATCAAGATTTTAAAACATGTCCTAACGATTTAGACTACAGAAACGAAGTTGAAACTTTAGAAGTTCAAAATAATAAAATAATTGCAAAACTTTCGATCTCAAATGGAAGCTCTGATGTTTAATCATAAATATTGAGTAGAATTACTTGGATCTTCTCAATTTTAATCCTTGCAAAATCTTCGTTTTCCTGATAATTATATCTGCAATGAGATATTGAAAGATATTGAAAAAAATCGAGTTCTGGGGGCCCATAACCCCGTGGGGTGTGTGCCGCGCGTGTTAAAAGCCCGCATTTCATTATTTATTGCCTTCTAAACTGTGCAGTACAGTTAGAATTGGTTTCAATAGTTGGGGACTACTACAAACATTATCTATACTATTAGTTTTTTTTTAATTTCATGAAAAATATGACAATAAATCTCATGAGAGTCTCATTGAATCGGATTTAAGTAAAAAATGGTTATGAAATTTCAAGTTTTAGGTAAAATTCAAGGAAATACATGAATATTCAGTCGGAGTAAGATGGAAATTTCACAACTTAATTGAATTTTCAATGGAATATGAATATGCAGAAATAAAATGACATGAGTTTTCAATGTTTCAGATTTTCTTGATTTTTCTGAATTTTCACGGAATAATTGAACTGAAAAATCAATGAAGTACTTGAAGTACTTCAATAAACTACTTGATTTTTCCGTCCCATTGATTTTTGAATGATAGGATTTCCTAAAATTCCAGTGGACATTGAACCCGATAAAAATTTCCGGAATTTGCCACGGAAAATTGAGATGAAAGCAGTGTATGAAAAACATGGGGACAATCTTAAGAAAAAGCTTTTTCCTACGGATATACCTTAAATTCGGAAACAAAAGAGCCAAAAGTGTTCATTTTGCCCCACTAGTCCCTGCGTATGAATCTCCATCAACAGTTATCTACATTCACGTCTCACTGAACTCTGATCAGAAGAACGTGGCGAACATAAAACATAATCTTGTCACTGTAGTCAAAATAGACCATTTGTAGTAGCTAGAGGTTTGAAAGGTACCAGCAGACGTATTTTGACCTGAGTTGAGCGAGGAGGCTCGACCTCAAGTAGATAACGACTGTTCAATGGTGATGGACTTTTTGAGAAAATGGAGGGGGCATTGATCGTAAAATCGAGGGAACTGTGCGTGCAGTCGCGATAAAACTGCCAACGCTTGTTGATGCTGTTTGGGTTCAAGTGACATACGACGTGTACACAAGCTCCCGAGAGTATCTCCACCTTGAGGATTCACTCCTGGTCAGCGGAGTTCAGTGGCACGAATTATTCAAGCTACCGGTTGATCGGTCGATATACCTGATCAGTTATGTCCGAGGTGGGAGCAAAAACGAGTAAGTGAACTGTTAATTACGGAGTTTGTTACAAAAAGGTTTGATTTTCAGTGATGTGTCATCGATTTTTAGGGATCCATGGCCAGTTGTTTTCTGGAATCTATACCCAATTATTCGGGATTTAAAATTATGAAATTCAATGAGTGCGAAATGCGGAAATTCAGTGGTTTTGTTGACAATTTTTACTGACATTAACACTATTTTTTTTGAAAATGTCATTGATTTTCAAGGAACCGTTTTTTTTTTTTGAGAATCTATCACCAAATTTTTGTGATAGAAATTATTGAGAATCAGGATTATTCTATTCAGTGTTCAATATCATTAATAATTGGTGATATATCTGTAAAACTCAGTGACATGTCCCGGGAAATTAGGAACATGTTCCTGAAAATCGAAAACATTTTTTTAACGATTGTTTGACATTTCGATGGCAGTTTTATCACGAATTCAAAAAACTATTTAGGGTTTAATTAGAGTTGACTTATCCCATAATATAAAAGGGAAGAAATTTAGGAAAAAAAATTGTCTCGTGCTATTTTTTTACGAAGATTCTTTTTCAGCTATAAAAAAATGTTGTAACATTTTTCTTCAAATTTTCGAGTCCCAGAGATATTTGAAGAATCATTTTATGAGAGCCCCTTAATTTATCTGATTCTCATTTTTGTTCTTCGATATTTCCCTCCACTAGTTTCGGAGTGATTTACAGAACAATTGGACCAAAGTTCATCGGTTCATCTTACTTTCAAGAATATAAATAGCAAAATGTCCAATCATCCCGGCGAAAGTCTCATATTTTTCTCTAAATGTCTCAGTTTCAAAGATGTTTACAGATTCCCCTGGACGATAAGATATTCATCTTATTAACAAAATTAGCTTGGAGATTATTTTGTGAATACTTTGTTATTTTCGGAGGGAAAATTAGGGGAAAACGTGAAGAGATGGGACTTTCTTGTTCTTCAAAATTTCCCTCCACTAGTTTCGTAGAGATTTACAGAATAATTTGCTCAAAGTTTATTGATTCATCTAATTTTTATGAAAAAAAAAGTGCGAGATGTTTAAAAAGACGCGTTATCTTAAAATTTTTCTGCGTTGGCCCGGAAAAATTTACTGAACGTGAGGGTAATTAGTGCCAAAATTGTAAAATTTACCCGACATTCCATTAAGAATTATCCCAGTGAACGTGAATGATTGCTCAATATTGCATTTCATTTCTCTGCAATGGAGAATGAGTTTTTACCGAACATGTTCGGGATCTTCAGATGGGTACAAGACAAAAATACCCTACCGATGTGGGAAATGTTACTGTACAAGAGGATAATTTTTGCGTTCATAGATGTGTTTTTTTCAGCAATCGAATCACAAAATATCCCCCACAAAAAGGTATTTTTTCATTGAATTTAATGATGCCACGAGACGAGAGATATTTCTTCTGGACGAGAAGGAAAAAAGGAATAAAGGGATAAACGATTTTTTTTTGCTCTACGAGACGAGATAACTAATATCTCTCGTCTGCGTATTTCCATCTCGAAACACTGTCTCGTCTCGTCTCGTAATGCTTCTCATACCGCACTTCGCTCCACGATTATCTCTCGCACATTGAAAATTCCCACTATTTTCTCGGCAATTTTTATCCAACTTTTCTCTCTGTGCAATATTCCACCAAGTTAATCGAATTATCCTCTGAATTAATTGATAACACTGATTGAATAACGGAAAACTTCATCAATACCGCTAATTGCCTGAATATTTCCGAAGGAAAACTTGGATAATGCGTCCTTCCCTCCCACCGGAATTCCATTTTTTTTTCGTTGAAAAAAATGCAATGAATAATTTCTCGCCAAAGGGTCTTCTTTCAACCTCTTCAGTATTGACTTTCTCACTTTTATGTTGCCGCCTGTCCGTGTTGATGTGGCGTTCGCGCAATATTTTTTCCTTCCCTCTCCCCCTCCCCATCCCCCCAGAGAATTCATAAAAATCGCTGGCATGCCGTTTTATTTTCCTCTCTATTCTTTTCCCCCGCGCCGCTCATCTCGATAAATAGAAGAGTACACTTGGAGCATTTACTTGAAAAACAAACGCACATGTCGGAGTATGTAGATCGGGAGTGAATGTTTTTCAGTTTGTTCTACTTCAAGGTTGAAATTTGCGTATTTACTTCAGCCTAACAATTTCGAATTTCAGCTGTGGATGGGAGATGGATACCTGTGTTGTTGACTTTTTTTAGCTTTGACAAAGGTTGCAGAGAGCAAATCGCAATTTTTTTTTCTCGTTTTTATGAGGGAAATTGAGAAATTCGCTTGTTTCAATGAAAATATTTTAATGAGATGGAATGAATAATTCATGCATTCCAAATAAAGGAGTATTACGGATTAATAAACTTGTTCTCTTCGCGGTCTGGATAATTATTTCATTTCTAAGTAATGAAGTTTTGTCCCAACAAGAGGGATGCCACACTTCAATCAAATAAAACTATTGGAAAATAAAAAATCGGAAAACCTCCTTGAAATTGAATCTCCGGTGAAAAAAAACAAATTTCCAATTCATGGACTTTCGTCAGTACGTTACGTATGATTAAAAAACGCTGGATGAATCTGTACAAAAGCTCTTTTGCGCCTGACCTCTTCGATTATGCATTCGATGGCTTTCAACTTCCCTTTAGCACGGATTCTCCCGTTGGACTAGTCGTCGAGACCCTTCTACCTCTTGCATTATTTTATCCCCCGGCACTCTCTTCGCTCGTTCAATATGTTGACATAAATTTACACATACAAAGAGAAATTGAGAATATTGTCATTTGTCAAATCTAATTGAGAATATTGTCACTGATGAAATCCAAGCACTTTTATTATCCATTTTTCTCCGTGTGTATTCAAAAATGCTCGATTCAAGAACAATATTTCCTGTGACGAGATTTTTTGCAGTTTCGGTGGGACTGCCAATTTGATAAAAATTTACAAAACATTTGCTCTTAAGGATATTCTAGTATCTTTTACAATTTGGTGCTCACTACACCATAAATTCAACCATTTTCAGTCATCAAATTTGTCGATTACATTGCGTGAGAAAAATTTGAGAAAATAATCTTGAATATTTAGCGTCATTCGAGTTACATTTTGCCCAGAATTATTACTTTTTATTTTAAACATTTATTGGTTATAAAGAAATAATTTAAATTGTTTCCACATTTGAAAACATTATTTTTTTGGGCATGAATTCGATTTTTGGTAAAATTCAAAATATGAATAATTTAGTTACGACCCTGAACAAATGATTTATATGGTAAAAAATAGATTGTTTATAAATTATTTATAGAAACTGCTCGTAATAAAAAAAATGCAATTTTGTGATGATTTCATCAATCTTCCTCCAAAAATAAACTTTCTCATTTTTTAAAAATGTTTTCTAACAGATTAATATCGAGATTTTAATTCGGACCTACAAAGTTTAAATAATCAAATCATTGTAAAATGTCCGAAAACTTAGGGCCAAATCGGGCTCAGACAAAAGCTCTGATGTTTTCACTGGAGAAAAAAAATAGCCAAAGTACTTGGATATCCATAATAAAACTTCAATTCGAACCTAAATTTGATTTTCCTTTGTGTTTTTATTCGCGTCAAACGAATAGTTTCTCAAACACGAACAAATGTTTACTTGATCTAAATAAAGACGTTATTATTTAGAAATATCATTGCTAAGACACCCAAAGGACGAATTTATTAACCTGAAATAATTCTTCGTCTGGATCAACTAAATCGTTTATTCACTTCTACCAGAGGATCTGTTTGGAATCATTCATGTCGTATGATTAAAACATTCCGATATTTAATTAAATACGTCATTTCTCTGGGTGAAGGGTCTCGATTACCATCGAATTTCCTCCAGCTTCATTGAGACTGCGACAGATTGGCAATGAATTATTACAGCCTTGAGATATCCTCGCAAGTTCGGAACCACGCTCGAATCATTAACCAATTTGTTCGTCTAATGACTCGAATTGCCAGCCTTCGCGCACTGTTTCTACTAATGGGGAGATTGCACCGACATTGTGTATCTCCTTGCACGAGGCTTTCCTAATGATGGTCTAATCTTCTACTCGGCATTGTTGCTAAATTGCTTTCATGCTCAGCATCGATTAAGGTAGTTCCTCAGGTTTGAATTTTGTTGAGCGATCGTCTGACTTCTCATCATTTCATTCTTCTTGTAGATAAATCCATTGACTGTAGTCAATTTGTTTTACAAATGCGGTTTTGAGGATTGATTATTCAGTTAGTTTAGAAGCGAGTGACTTGAGAAAATACTGAATCTTACTTTAAGGATGTTTAGCCAAAACCCACATTATTCACCGCAATTTTGATATTGTCTCATATTCCAGGTTCATATTTGATCCACGCGTTAGTAATAATCTTAGTCGTTCCATCGGGGCATCCTAGTGAGAAATTAATTTCTGAAAATCACTTCTTGTAACATTACGCTTAGGGAAGAACCGTGACCGTGTGAACTTTGATCGAGATGTTGCAGCGGTTAGACACTCAAGATATTGAAAAAAAACTACAAGCCATTTACTTTAGACTGGAGAATCTATCGCCGGCGAGAACAAGTAAGGGACCGGGCCATATAGGCGTGATATCTTCGATTAATTTTCGAATTCCTCTAAAAAAAATTTGACCGCCATTATGAGTCGAGCAACGCGACAACACCACACAACAACTGATCGAGGTCGGTAAAGTCGGTGACGATAATTCAGTGCTGGAAGCATATGGACACGTATAACACACACAAACATTCATCTCACTGTTACCCCACTACTAGCCGAAGCGTGCGATGTTGCCCGATCAAAATTCGACTGTTACCACTGCAGTCACAAATCCTCCATTATTTATGAACATTTTTTTTAATTATTGTTTTTGAGTCCGGAAAAGTACGCCATAACACTTCTAATTTGATGAGAAAAATAATTCGTAACATGAATGATTTATTTAGTCAATTTTATTTTTCTTTTC